GGGGGATGGGTTAGCCTGGTGATGGGTATTAAAGAGGGCACATTCTGCGTGGAGCACTGGGTGTTATGCACAAACAATGAATCATGGAACACTACATCAAAAACTAATGATGTAATGTATGGTGATTAACATAACAATAAAAAATTATTTAAAAAAACTATGTATTGTATGGTGACTAACATAACAATAAAAAAATTAAAAAAATAAAGGAGTCACAATGCTCTTCCAACTGAGCCAGTCAGGTGCCCCTAAAAATAAAATTTTTTATACTGGGAAAAAAAAAAAAAGAAAAAAAAAAGAATATCAAGCTACCAACTGACTTAGTCTCTGCGTTCAGACACTGTTCCTTCACTCCCAAAGGTTCCTGTCTAACCCTTGCCATAACATAGCCGTTGTCCCTCAGCAGTGTCATTATTGATTTACATTCCCCTCTCCCCCCGCCTGTGAGTGCCACATCTGCTTTATCTATTGTGATACTTCCAGCACCTAGTCCACTGCCTGATATATAATAAGTATTCGAAAATATTTTTCTAATGATTCATAGCTTAGTCTGTTGTTTAAGAGAAAGGAAGGAGACAGAGGAAGTAAGGGGAACCAAGCAAATCTACTGTGGTTAGATGGTGACAAGACTGCAGTTGGTCTGTGTGTATGATAGATGGGCTCCTCCTGCTTCCAGAGGGTCTTGACAGCAAGCACTCGCTTTTCAGTGTTCAGGGCACCTTGGGTGGGTGCCTCAAACCTGGCACCATGTCTCATGGTCAACCTGGTAAGGTCAACACCTCAAAGCATCAGGCCTTCCTCTGAAGCAGCAAGCAGTTTTCTCTTGGCAACCACCTAACTTTTAGTAGAGCAGATGTTGAACAGTCCTAGACTTTAAATTCCTTACTTCTTAACACTGTCACCTCAAAAAATGCCATGATATATTTTGTCCCTTCATGGGATCCATATCTACCTTCTTTTTTTTTTAAGGTTTTATTTATTTATTTTAGAGAGAGAGAGAGCATGAGTGGATGGAGGGGCAGAGGGAGAGGGAGAGAGAGAATCTTTTTTTTTTAATTTTTTATTGTTATGTTAATCACCATACATTTGTTTTTGATGTAGTGTTCCATGATTCATTGTTTGTGCATAAAACCCATTGCTCCACGCAGAATGTGCCCTCTTTAATACCCATCACCAGGCTAACCCATCCCCCCACCCTCCTCCCCTCTAGAACCCTCAGTTTGTTTTTCAGAGTCCATCATCTCTCATGGTTCATCAGGGAAAGAGAGAATCTTAAACAGACTCCACGCTGAGTGCAGAGCTCAATGTGGGCTCAATCGCATGACCCTGAAATCATGACCTGAGCCACAATCAAGTCCGCCATTTAACCAAATGAGCTACCCAGGGACCCCTCTACCTTTTTCCTTTCCTTACCCACCTTCTTATTTTTCTATCTCCTCAATTAGCAAAGTCACTTTCTCACTAATATATGTATTTAAATATCACCCATACCCCAATGACGGGCCCTAACATCACTTGTAAGGTCAGTCTTAAACTGGCTGTTCTGTATAAGAGGAGCGATGGATGGAAATTACTGCCTAACATGGCCCTTAGGGTTCACTCACCTGGCTCTTCTACCACATAGAGAATGGACTTTCCACTCGAGTCTTCATAGTACTGGAATCTGACGACACAGTCATCCTCATTCTTGTATGTACAATTCACTGCATCCTTCCCAGTATCCTCTGAGGAAGGGAAAAAGATGGAAGAATGAAAAGAGAGTCAATTCCTGGACTATGGGGCCATGTCCAAGCCCCAGTTATGAGACTTCTGAGAAAGTATGCAACAGGAAACCCTATGCCTGACGTTAGGCAAGATGTCTAGATTTGAGATGGCCTGGCAATTACCTCTAGATGACCCTCTAGATGTATTTTGTCCCTCACAGGCCCTTTTTGGTTATTATTCCTTCCCCTGGAAGGGACATGACATAACACATTCCACGGTCTGATTCAAAGCCTGGCCCTCCCACCTGCCAGCTGTGTAATACTAGGGAAGTTACTTGATCTCATCAGCTCTCTCTTTCTTCATCTATAAAAGGAAAATGATACCCCACCTCACAAGGTTGGTAAAGAACTAAATGGCATAAAGTAAACAGTACCTAATACACAGTGGGTGTTCCCTTCCCTCTCTTTCCCTTCTCTGCTTGCCGAACAATTCTTAATAATTCATTGACTCAGTCCCTATATTTCTTCAATTTCTGCTTCTGATCCAGTGCTCCTCTCAAGCCATCCCTTCTTCTCAGACTCCCATCACGTTTTGTAGGCTTCATCCCTTCTGATTCTGAAACCTCTTATTCTGACAGGGAAACGATAGGTACCCCTCCATTAGCTGCACTATATCCTCCAGTGATGAAGCTGGATGGGTAAAACTGACACATGATGAGGTTAAGCAAATGTCCCAAGGTTGCACCACAGGTGCATGATGGAGCAGGACTAGAAGTTGAGTCTCAGAGCACATCCTACAGACTTGAACTCAACAGGCCTTTAGAAAACCAGTGATATAAGAGTACAATGGTAGGGTAGGATTTCCGGATTTAGTCCTAAGCTTAACTTGTTCGAGTAGATTATGTAACTTGCCTGAAATTCCATATCCTCATTTGTAAAATGAAGATAACAGTACTACAGTTCTACTTTACTAGGTTGTTGAGAAAAGGATAAGATGGTGGGTATGAAAGGGCACTTTTATAACTTTTATAAGTTATACAATTCCATACAAACAAGCATTCATTTTTATGATTATCATGGCATGGGGGGAGGAGGTACGAGAAATACTTATCAGGAAACCTGTGATATCCATCTGGTCTAGGTAATAAAAACATCTCACATTTCTCTCAGCAGTCTCTCCCCCCTGAGCTAGTCATAGCATACACCCAGTCTCTTCCAGAGGAAAAGCTGTGTCTTCAAACTCAATCCCCAAATCACTATCCTCACTCCCAGCCCCACCTCTAATATTAGCCAAAGGGCCCAGAGATCTGACCCTTTCTGTAAAACCCCCTGACAGAAGTTGACTGTGTCTTCCTGTGGCTCTCACTAAAAAACATGTTTCCTGCCTTCATGGGAGATGGCTATCTCAGGAGAGATTACCATCTCCCTGCTACCAGCCAGTGCCTAGCTGACCCAGATAATCATATCAGATATGCTGACAGCAGCAAAGATCATCTCCTTCTAAGTCAAGGTAAAGTACAAACCAGAATAACTGCAAGCAAGAGTTTTGCTCCCCACTGTATTTTTATCTGTCTTATTCCAGGAAGGGCTCCATCATGAGTTTAGCTACAAATCTATAAAGGTAAAGGTTTCCCTCCAAACCAGCAAAGCAGTATGCCTGGGCACTGTTTAACACTCTTTTGTTAAATAAACTCAGTAAATGCTTACTAGCTTCCTAAAATGATGCCTGTCACTCTGTGCCTCAGTTTCTTCATCTGTAAAATGGGATGCATTGTCTTCTTTTCCTTGAGGAGGTAAAGTTAGGGTCTGAAATCAGGCATACTTTAAAAGTTACTTGTAGGATCTTGCTGAGTCTGTGGGTGCTGGGAAGCAGAATGGTGAGGGACTGTGGAACCAATTAGTAGAGGTGCAGGAGGACTCAGGGAAGCCAGCTTTTATGGAGTGCCTAGCATGCATCAGGTCCGCACAACATGCCTTTGAGGTGGGAATTATTTTTCCATGTTACTGATGAGAGTTGGACAGGTTCTGGGGTTAACTGCACAATTTTAGAAGCTGTGTGTGTGTGTGTGTGTGTGTGTGTGTGTGTGTGCAACTCTGAGATACCCTGAACTTACTAAGTTCCTTCACAGACTCGATTTCATCACGACAGTAACGGTTGCAGGTATTGTCCTCATGGAGGGCTCCTCGGTCAAATTTCTTACACTCCACACACTCCCTAAAAGAGAGAGGACACAGAGATTAAGACGAGGGAAGAACAAACTTACAAGGTTTCAGTCCGGCTCGGACCTCCATTCACCAGAAAGCTGCTCCACCTCAGAAAACAAACACCTGTACCACAATCCCGGGGGCCCAGAGGGTCAAGTCTGTGAGTTCAGGGTGGGAGGCCTGGCAGGCAGAGGGCCCCAGCACCCACATTAAACTTCTTCATGGCCCATCCGAGAGTATGACAGGAAGTGAAGCCTATGCCAGATTGGGGAGCCTTAAAGGCAGAACCGGTCATGTAATCTGGGAGCCCAGTGCAAAGGCAAATGTCAGGTCCCCTGTTTTAAAATGACTAAGAATTACAAGACAGGGCCAGCAGAGCTGTAAACCAAGTGTGGGGCCCTTCTAAGCACGGGGCGCTGTACGGATGCACAGGTTGTGCACCCAAGAGTCCAGCCCTGCTTAAAGTGGGAAGAGAAATGGCAGGAGCATCCCCTGACCCCCAGATGAGTGAAGTACATACTTGTGACCTTCTCCCGTCTCACAGTGTCCTTCATAACTGCAGCCCCACATCTCCCACAGAATCAGAACATCAGCACAGGAACATTCCCCTGGAAGCTCCCTGGTTTAGCCTTCCTCCCAACTCAGGGATTCAGGATGCCAGCCCAGGAGAGCAGGTTTCTCCACCTGGAGTCCCCAGGGTACTACTTTGGCCCCTGCCTGGTTGGCTCTCCCTCCAACATTTCCCCAACTTTTCAGTGGAAAGAGGAAAGCGAGCCTCTTAGCCACAGGGGACTCCTCTACCTAAAGCTTTGGTGAGTAAGAGACAGACCCTGGAGGAGTGGGAGGGGGGTGGATACCAGCCTGGGAGACCCTCCCCCTCCTGCCAGCACCCTGCTCTCTCCAACTCACTTCTCAGCCCACTCACTTCTTAAAGGTGCAGGCATCGGGGCAGGTGGGGCACTTCTCGCAGGTGTCCCCGTAGGAGCCGGGCTGGATGCACACGCAGCTGCCACACTCACACTTGCCGCGGCCGCTGCACAGCAACCCATTGCCGGACATGCAGGTGTCCGTGCGCGTGGTGCAGTTGCAGTAGTAGCCGGTCCAGTCCGAGTCACACAGGCAGTCCCCACAGCTGCACTGGCCATGGCCTGGAAGCACACAGCCCAAGCGGGCGGCAGCAGGTGAGGGTCCCCACCTCCCCCCGCCCTCCTCCTGCCGCCCCTCGTCAGCACCGCACTGAACGGTTCACCGCCTTTTGTGCTTTCTCTCCATCCTCCCCGGGCCAAATCCACTGCCTGTCCTGTGTTCTCCTAGCGTTTACATGGACATTTTAAGCCTTACGATCAGCCCATTTGCTTGCCTATCTATTTCTCCTTCTAGACTGTGAGCTCCACGATGGGAGAAGACATATTGGTTTGTCCACCAGGAGTGATTAGCATAACATCTGAAACACAGGAGGCAGGCAATTAATGTTTTGCTTATTGACTCATTTACTCAACAAACACTGCTTGAGCTCACACTGGGCACCAGAGATTCGTCAGTGAACAAGACAGGCAAGGTCCCTATGGCCCTGGAGCTTATGTCCTAGCTAAATTCCTGGAAAACATACATGTTCACCAGCATGTGCCCTGTGCTGTATTAGCATAGTATTGCAAAGAACCAGCAGCGCTAGTAGGAAAGAGCTCTTCACTTTACTGAGGGAGCGTAGGAATGGGAGAGAGGGGCCTGGGGTGGGGGTTAGGTTGGTTAAATGCAGGTGTTAACTCTTGGTGCTACATCCCCCTAATTACTTAACAAGACTTGAAAACTTGGCTCCCAAACTCAGAAGAAAAGGTGACTCATTCTCAAGGATTCTGAATCAGGAAGAAGTGGATGAATAATAAAAATCTGATTGTTAATCAGAGGAAAGGCAGGGAGCAAGGGGGAAGTAACCTCATTTGGTCTGAAAACCATACCACTTGTGTGAGCAAATGGGCCCCAAGATGGTGGAGGAGAGGGAGGTGCATGGGCAGGCTCAAACGGCCGCTAGCTGGCACCTTCAGCGTCCCAGTGACAGCCAGGTGAGCGGGGCCCCACAGTGTCCACTACACCCAGCTTTTAATGATGGCTCCCGGACAGGGAAAGGCCGATGCCACAGAGGACCGGCAGCACTCAGAGACCTCGGCCTCCTCAGAAACCCCTGTCCCATAGTGTTCCCTTTGTGCGGCCCAACAAAGTGATCTTTGAGAAGATGGTATGCCAGGCCAGCCCGGGAGTGAAGTTGGGAGTCCAGTGGCAGGCCAGAGCCAGCATGCCCTGGCAGGGTCCGCCCATAAAAGGAAGCCACAATGTGGTAATGTCACAGGACAGGCACCCCGCCAGCCAAAGGGTGGCTGAGCCCGGGTTCACAGGGAAGTCAGAGGAGGGTGGTGAGGAATGAAGAGAAAGTGTAAGAAAGAGGAAGGAAATAGGAAAAGAAGGCAGCAGGGGAGGGGTGGAGCTGAGGGAGGGGGAAGGGAAAGAGAGGAGCAGACCTTTCAGGTCCCGTGGAAGGCAACCACTCTCCCTAAACAGCTTGACCCTCTGGGCCGATGCTTAGCTCCTCTCCCCTGCTTTATGAGCCAGCCCTTTGTTTGACATCCTACTTCCTCCATGAAGCCACCCAGGCTTCCTCTGCCTACAGTGAGTCTCTCTCCAGTGGACTCCTATAATTATTCCCCAAGGATACCTCACTTCCGAGACCGGGCAGGTTCTGCCTCATGCTGTGAATTATCCTTAGGTAAGCTAATTAAGGGCAAAACTGTCTTATGCATGCCTCGTGATCCCACAACACTACAGCACAGAGCTGGCTCAGGGGCACCTGATCAATCTACGCTCATGGACATGGCAGGTGGGGAGTCCCCTGAGGACAAGGATGCACCCCCTGGTGTTTGAGGCAGGAATGCTGATACCATGTAACCACAAAGGCCATACCCCGGTGGGGAGGGGGGAGGGGGAAGGCCAGAGGCTGGGGAAATAGCCAAGTGGTAGCATGCCACCCTCATGAGCCATGGCTTGTGGCAAAGAACAGACCACCGGCCAGCAGCTCTGGGGAGAGACAATGGTGAACCGGTGTATAAGCTTGAGCAGTCAGGAATCAGGCACGACCCCTGTTCACCCATTCGGACTGAGTGCCTGGCACAGAACAGGTGTTCAATAAATATGTGTCCCTGAGTATCTGTCCCTGGAGAGTATGACGGTGGCACCACAGGATCTAGACCCGAAACCAGTAGGCACACAACACTCCAGCTGGAAGCGGGGGAGGGAGGCCTCTCAGAGACTACAGTGGCTGCCTGGGGTTCCCTCATGAATTAAGCTGGAGCACATGGGGGACAAGCTGTTTTGCACTGGTAGGAGGCAGGAAGCAGGCTGCTGACCCAGGCAGCTTTGTTTTATGGCTTCGGGGCAGCCAGCAGCTGAAGGAAACACACTCTGGACGGGATCCCTCCCACACGGTGTCACACCAGACCAGGAACCACGAGGCACAGAGGAGTAGACCTCCCTCTGTCCTTGGTGCCTACAGACAGAGGGGCTGTCTGTAGGCCTCTCCTAGGACAACCCTCTTTCCATGGTCTCCCACATCAAACTTACCAATTCCCTTTGGCACTTTGAATATGATGTAAGTACTATTAAATATTACAATAAGCTGAAATTCCTGCCTCACCCTCTAATTCAAACTGCTGTTTGTGTGTGTATGTCGGTGTGTAACTGATCTCTCTCTCCCTATCATTTCTCTCCGATCTCTCTCTCAAATTTTGTTGGCTTGGGCGCCTGGGTAGCTCAGTTGGTTAAGCGACTGCCTTCAGCTCAGGTCATGATCCTGGAGTCCCGGGATCGAGTCCCACATCGGGCTCCCTGCTCAGCGGGGAGTCTGCTTCTCCCTCTGACCCTCTTCCCTCTCGTGCTCTCTATCTCTCATTCTCTCTCTCTCTCAAATAAATAAATAAAAAATCTTTAAAAAATGTTTGTTGGCTTGAGTAAAGGAAACAATGTTGCAGATAATAAAAACAAGCCATTTTTATGTTACTAGGGCATGTTTTAGAATGACACAGATTTAACTTTCTAATCAAGCTCTCTTAGACTGATGTTAAAGTGAACATCTAGGTAGATTATAGCTCAGCTCATTAAGCCCCAGTGCAAAGGAAGCCAATCTGAGTCATAGATTAGATCACCATAGAAGCCAATTATAATCTCTGTTGATTGGCTACACAATACACCCAAAAACCAATCGCAACCAGTTTGCAAATGTCTTCGATCTCTCTGTCACAAGAGGGATCAAGCCTCAGTGATCATAGCCCAGCAAAAACCTCTCCCCAGTGCCCTAGGAACTACTCAGACATGCTGAGAGTCAGCATGTCTGCAGATAAAGACTAACTCACATTACTTTGATTTCTTCTAGCTGGGGAAGCATCCTAGGAGTGGTCTTTGGGGCAAGGAAAAACCAGCTTGAGATTTTCAATGGGCCTCAAGATTTTACTGACTTCTGTCATGAGAAGGACAAAACCTCAGTATCCTGCAGGTAGGACTTGACATCATAACCCTCCATCTGTAGGCTGGACCCCTCAATGGCAATGCTTTCTTTCTTTTTTTTTTGGATGTAGTGTTCCATGATTCATTGTTTGTGCATAACACCCAGTGCTCCACACAGAACATGCCCTCTTTAATATCCATCACCAGGCTAACCCATCCCCCCACCCCCCTCCCCTCTAGAACCCTCAGTTTGTTTTTCAGAGTCCATCGTCTCTCATGGTTCATCTCCCCCTCCGATTTACTCCCCTTCATTCTTCCCCTCCTGCTATCAGTTCTTCTTTTTTTTTTCCTAACATATATTGCATTATTTGTTTCAGAGGCACAGGTCTGTGATTCAACAGTCTTGCACAATTCACAGTGCTCACCATAGCACATACCCTCCCCAATGTCTATCACCCAGCCACCCCATCTCTGCCACCCCCCCACCACTCCAGCAACACTCAGTTTGTTTCCTGAGATTAAGAATTCCTCATACCAGTGAGGTCATATGGTACATATCTTTCTCTGATTGACTTATTTCACTTAGCATAACACCCTCCAGTTCCATCCACGTCGTTGCAAATGGCAAGATCTCACTCCTTTTGATGGCTGCATAATATTCCATTGTGTATATATACCACGTCTTCTTTATCCATTCATCTGTCGATGGACATCTTGGCTCTTTCCACAGTTTGGCTATTGTGGACATTCCTGCTATAAACATTGGGGTGCACGTACCCCTTCAGATCCCTACATTTGTATCTTTGTGGTAAATACCCAGTAGTGCAATTGCTGGATCGTATGGTAGCTCTATTTTCAACTGTTTGAGGAACCTCCATACTGTTTTCCAGAGTGGCTTGCATTCCCACCGACAGTGTAGGAGGGTTCCCCTTTCTCAGCATCCCTGCCAACATCTGTCGTTTCCTGACTTGTTAATTTTAGCCATTCTGACGGGTGTGAGGTGGTATCTCATTGAGGTTTTGATTTGGATTTCCCTGATGCCGAGAGATGTTGAGCGCTTTTTCATGTGTCTGTTGGCCATTTGGATGTCTTCTTTGGAAAAATGTCTGTTCATGTCTTCTGCCCATTTCTTGAATGGATCATTTGTTCTTTGGGTGTTGAGTTTGATAAGTTCTTTATAGATTTTGGATACTAGCCCTTTATCTGGTATATCATTTGCAAATATTTTCTCCCATTCTGTCGGTTGTCTTTTGGTTTTGTGGACTGTTTCTTTTGCTGTGCAAAAGCTTTTTATCTTGATGAAATCCCAATAGTTCATTTTTGCCCTTGCTTCCCTTGCCTTTGGCGATATTTCTAGGAAGAAGTTGCTGCGGCTGAGGTCGAAGAGGTTGCTGCCTGTGTTCTCCTTTAGGATTTTGATGGACTCCTGTCTCACGTTTAGGTCTTTCAACCATTTGGAGTCTATTTTTGTGTGTGGTGTAAGGAAATGGTCCAGTTTCATTCTTCTGCATGTGGCTGCCCAATTTGCCCAACACCATTTGTTGAAGAGACTGTCTTTTTTCCATTGGACATTCTTTCCTGCTTTGTCAAAGATGAGTTGACCGTAGAGTTGAGGGTCCATTTCTGGGCTCTCGATTCTGTTCCATTGATCTATGTGTCTGTTTT